ATATATATATATATATATATATATATATATATATATATATATATATAACTAAACGTTAGAATATTCTAGTTAGGGGTGTAGCTTGATGATAGAGCACTTCCTGGCTGTGCCTAAAATGTCACAACAGGACAAACCTTAAAATCCTTTCTTTTAAAAGGTTAAAAGATTGCAGATTAAGGTGTATGAAGAAATCTGCCCTCAGCAGCTTAAGGAGTCAGGTCTGTAGAAGGTCTGTATAGCCTGGGACTCCAACACTAGGAATAACAAATCAGCTTTAAATACTCATAAAAACTCTAGAATTTTCTGAAGGCCAGTTCCTCTTACCCCTACCCCAGACCAATGATTCTGCTGAGTAGTCCAGGCTGACTCAGCTTCCAGAGTGCTGGAATTTCAGGCCTGCACACCCATCCCTTTCTGAATGTTCCCTATTCTGCCCACTGACTCCCACGTTGCAGCCTACTGTCATATTTTTTTGTCACCTAGAACATCACCCTTATCTGTCCTCAGCCCTGGTGTCTACCCATCTAGAGCTGGCTTGTTCTCCGTTTGTTTTGCTTTGCTTCGGCTGGCCTCAAATTCAGGGATATATCTGCCTCAGCTTCCCTAGCATCAGGATGAAAGGCGTGGGCCACCACTGCCTTCCGTGAGCTGGCTTGGTTTTCCAGGCCCACATTAATTTATCCAAGAAGCTTGCCACACTGGCTTCCAACTTAATCTCATTTTCCCAGTGGGTCCACAAGAGCCTCGGTGAGGTTCAGTCTCACAGGCATTGGTGGTACCCTGCAGGTAGATGTGGTTCCCTCCAACACCCCTTTCTGCGTTGGCTTTTCCAGACTAAATCAAAGAACCCTACTGACTGGGCTGCTAAGACAAAGATCTCCCCAGGGTTGGAAGGAAGAGCAGTAATGATTGACTTAGGCAAGAGCAATAAGGGTTCAAAGGAAAACATGGAGTGGGAGAAGAATCAGCATTTTAGCTTTCTCTAACTATACAGAACAGATTGTGTTCCAGGCATTCGCTGTTTCACCAATTTGGTTCTTAGCAGGATTCACAGTGAGAGGCGACCAGTTAGAGATGTTTAAAGAGCCACGAGAACCAATACCATACATTTGCTGCCTGAGAAAAGTAGAGATGATATGGGGACGGTAAAGTCCCATGCTCACTTGGGAAATGGGGGATGGCCAGAGGACTGAGTGTACACACTGAGATGACCCAGGATGTAGGGAACTCAGGATGGAGATACAGGTTTGACGGAAAATACTGCTCTTGTTGTTATGGTGGTGGTTGTTTTGTTTTTGAGGTAGAATCTCAAGATTGTAGCTTGGGCTATCCTCAAACTCAGGATCTTCCCATTTGGCCTCCCAAGTAGTAGGATTAGAGAGTTGTATTACTATGTCTAACTGAAAATGTCTTTTTTTTCTGAGAGAGAATATTGGCTCACAGCTGCAATCCCTGTAATTGGTAGGCAGAGGCAGAAAGATTGCCAAGAATTCCAGGCCAGTCTAGGCTAAGAAGTGAGATTCTGGCTGGGCGGTGGTGACGCACGCCTTTAATCCCAGCACTTGGGAGGCAGAGGCAGGCGGATTTCTGAGTTCAAGGCCAGCCTGGTCTACAGAGTGAGTTCCAAGACAGCCAGGGCTATACAGAGAAACCCTGTCTCGAAAAAAACAAAACAAAACAAAACAGTGAGATTCTGTTTCAAAAATTCCCAAACTTGGGTTGACTACTTAGATCAGCTGGTAGACTGCTTGCCTAGCATGTAGAAAGCACTGGCCTCAATCTCAAACACCACAGAAACATACAACCAGGTGGGTGGCGCTTGAGAAGCAGAATAGCAAAAGTTCAAGGTCATCTTTAGCTACACAGCAAACTCAAGACTGAGGTGACTTGAGAGCACCTCAAATAAGCACATAAACAGCCTCTCTCAAAAACAAAGAACAAACAAACAGAAAAGAGCCCAAGGGAAAACGAAAACAAACCAACAACCAAAAAAAAAAAAAAAAATCACCCCCGAAAAACCACAACCAAAACCAATCACCTCAAAAAAAAAAAAAAACAATAAAAAACAGAAAAATAAAACCAACTAACAACGAAAACAAGAAAAAAAGCAAACAAAGCAATGACAACATAAACATGCCATGAACTCATCATTTTGAATGATCACCTAAAAAAACAATTAAAAAATGAATTACAGGCAGTATGGATTACCTAGTATATCAAGACT